TAGTATCTTCTTCGGCGACGGTAAGGGACTGATATTACTTTCTTCCCGTTAAACAACCGTATCAGAGAAAACCCTCTAACCACAAACCGGATTGAATGCCCAGTTAATCGTCAGCGATGATTTCAAACTACTAGAAAGTGGTCTTCGACTGCGCTTACCCGAACAATCACACCAACCGCTGCAACCTCAGAATAAAGACACTGTTTTGAGTGAACAATAATGCGTCCATCCGATGAATAAACCCGTTTTTAGATGAGGGTCGTAATGTATTTTTCCAAAGGGTACTGCTGAAGTGCAGAGACACATTTGAAAGTTTAGTAACTGACTAAACACAATCCCCAAAGTTCAGAATACGGTTCAGGAATTTTCCTTAAAATATAATTAATCAAATTCAATTGAGCATGTTATAAAGATTAGCGAAACACTAAAAAAAGGGAAAAGTAGAAAAATATAAAACTATGAAGAAATGAAGTTAAAAAGAAAAAAAAAAAACGCATATATAGGAAATATGAATGTTGAAATGGATAGGTGATAACAAAAGATATGGTTAGAAAAGGAAGTATTTTTAGGAATCTGAAAATAGTTCTAATATTTTAGAGACAAGTTGATATCAAAAGGAAAACGGGCAACTGCATAAAGAAAATAACAAATGATATTTTAGGAGAATCTACAAAGAAACAATAAAATGCTAAAGAAACTTCGTGTTAGAACGAACATGTTTAAAATATAATTAATCAAATTAAATTGAACATGCTATAAGATTGGCAAGAGACTAAAAATAGGGGAAATTAGAAAAGTATAAAACCATAAGAAACAAAGTTAAAATAATAATAAAATAAATTTAAGTCATAAAATGAGCTCTATCATAAATTAATCATTAAACAGAGAGAAAATGGAATTTATATACTAGAAAAGACGAGAAAAAGGAAAGGTAGAGATTTAAACCATAATAAGCAGGGACCCGTGCAGAGCACGAGATTTGCATGTCAAGGGAAAGTGAAACAACAGAAATTGGTAAATTTTATAAGGAAGGAATGCAATGTTGTTTAAAATAATTAATCTTTATTTTAGTAATTTGTTACAAAAATAATTTAGTAGTTTTGATTAATTATATAAATAATTTTTAACAAAAATAATAAATTACTACTAGTTACTGAATAAAATAATTACTTTTTTCCATATTACCTATTAGTGTTCTATTTTATTTATTTTACTTTATTAATGATTAAATGTTACAATTTGTAAACATTTCTTAATTATGTATATATGTAGTATAATTATGTATACATATAAATATTATATTATGTATAATTATATTCAGTTTATAATTGATAAATTATGTATACATATACACCTTTTTTCTCTCTCTTATTATTTTTAGGTGATTTGACTATATGATATTTTTATTAACTAATTTTTAAACTATTATTTGTTTACAGGATGGGTTGGACCCACTTTGGCCTTGGAATTTGTGGGCCTAATATGGACCTGGGTTGAAGTTAGACTAAAATGATCACCCTTAAGCAAATTGATTTTGGTTTATTAAATTAATGAGGAGAGGACATAGCATAAAAGAAAAAAGGAAAAAGAGTAAATAAATTTTAAGCAATTTAATGGAGTAGTTAAGAGAAAAGAGAATTAGTGGAGTGAGCTAATAGAGGAGAGAGTTAATGGAATGATTAATGAGGAGAGATAATCAAAGGAGTTAATGAGAAAAAGAAGAGAGAGTTAATGGCAAGTTAATGAGGAAAGATGAATGACTTAAAGTTGATTGACTACTTGAGTAATTTTGTTCAATTTTAAAAATAAAACTTAAAAAAAACCACAAAATAGACAAATGGTAGGAGAAAAAGGTGAGTCATGCTGACATGGCATATCGTGTTTTAATATATGAATATAATTGGATACATTAAAGAAAAAGATCAAAGATTCTTGGTAAAGGATGAGAAATCAAAGAAAAATAAAAAAAAAATTGAAAGTTATTAAATGAGCATGTTGAGGGTGCTAATGGGAAAGAGATTAGTAACTATGATAATGTTAAAAATAACATGTGGCTTCATAAAAATAGACTTACTTGAAGCGAAGGAAGTGCTAAATAAGAGGGATCTTGATTCAATCAAGGGTCCCCTTGAAAAACAACATAGACAAAGTCACAGCTTGTACTAAATTATTTTTCTTTTTGATAGAAGACAATGAATAAATTAGAAAGAAAGATGTTAGCTTACATACTTTTTGTCCACTTTTTTTTTTAAGTTCTGCCGGAGGGAGGCCACGTGACTAAAGATTCTTCCATCCACTACTGAACTCATAGCGTAGTTATTTTCATGGCCCATCTCGTGAAGGCCTTATCATTAGCTATCTCGCTCATCAAGGTTGTATTTGGCACCATTGTTTCTGAAAAAGTTTAGAAGGTGAGAAACATGTCCTGTTACATCACATGTGAGGTCACTTTAGTTTGAAAAATGCATGTGTGAAACTTCATTACCATTGTAGTTATTGACATTTTCAGGTAGAAACAGCATTTGTAATTTTGTATTTATGAACCTGAAACCTGAAACATGTCCTGTTATTGACATTTATACCTGAACGTTTCAGGTATAAACATTCAATGGTGCCAAACGTAATCAAATGTCATTTTTAGGGGAGACTGATCATTCCTCAACTGACCCAAAATTTAATATGGCACTGAACAAGTGGAAGAACATGATTCATATTTGATAAAGGGTATTTTGGCAGTACCTTATTGTTCGAACTATTTCTAGGTGGCCGATAAATTAGATGCCGAAGTGGAGGATTTTTGTTGGATGAGGACTTGGATGTCGAGCTGACTAAGCCAAGCTGGGGGTAGATTGGGTGCCGAGCTGGGTAGCTCTTTAGAGAAACCTACAAGGAATCAATGTTAGAGGACCCTGGGTGGCTAACCTGGCGAGGTCGCTCTGATGATTAAGTTAGTACTCTCGTAGTAGATCGCAAGCTAAAAAATCATAAAGTATGAACCTAGAATGTGCTTACTCGCCTCTCGTGTCATTGGGGTTGGGGCCTTTATATAGGCATTGTTTGGTTTGGGCCTCACGCACTGCATCCGAGATTTCCGAGAGGTCGTGCCTAACTGGTCCGAGATCCTCGAAGGTAACCGCCATGCACGTTGACCATCCTCTGGAATATTCGGTATGTGGGCCAATTTCCAAGAAACCTAGGAGCATCAGGATATGCATGTCGAATTTGTCGGTGAGCACATCTCGCAGGTCACCACCTGGTCCCTAATCAGGTCGGCAAGCCCTCGAGGGAGGGCACTCCTCGCGTCGAGGTCACTTCAGCTAGTGACAAGGTGCTATAGGCTGACCCTGGACGATGTGCTACAAGCCAACCTAAGTTGTGGTCGAGGTCGCTAGGTCGGCATAAAGGTAGTTCGCTAGATTAGCAGTGAAGGCAGGTTTCTAGGTCAGCGGTAAAGACAGGTCGCCAGGTTGGGGTAAAGACGAATCGCAATCTGGGACTCCAAATCATCACTTAGGTGGTGTTTAACTGTCATCTAGCTATTCTGAGATGCCATGTGTCACAATGTCATTGGAAGGCCAAAGCCACCCTCATCAATATTCTTCTTTTGATGGATAAGAGGATTCATATTCTTTGTCTTTGACAAACCTGTGCAATTGAATTGAAGCGGTTAAAATGATAATCTTAGTTATGGATAGGGGTGAGCATTATTCGGTTAAAACCAAAAAATGAATAGAAAATTTTGGTTTCGGTTTTTTAGGTTTGTTTATTTTGGTTTTTAGTTAATTTGGTTTGATTAATATGTTATGATATATGTAATATATATTATAGTATATACATTTTTGAAATTCGATTTTAATTGAAAATCGAACCGGAAATTTCGGTTTCAGTTATTTTAGTTTTTCTCTAATTCGATTTCGGTTCGGTTTTTAAAATTTTGATTTACTAGGTTCGCTTTTTAACTGAATAAACCGAATACTCACCCCTAGTTATGCTACCCACTAGTTGTTCTCACATCCCTACCCAAGTACAACTACGCATTGAGAATATCTCCCCTGTCATTAGGAATGGCAACGGGGCAGGTTCAGGGTGGGATTCATATCCCCCGTCCCCATTGCCGATCCCCGCCGGAGATAAAATTTATCCTCCATCCCTGATCCTCGACAAGGATGGGCTACCCATAGGGTGGGGCAGGGGGACCTCAATCCCCATCCTGACCCTGACCCCGATTGGAAATTCCTATTAATCCCTATCCCCATGCCCGCCCCACCAAAACAATCCCCACTCGAGATGGGAAAAATTGCCTTCCCTACTTGTCATTCATGGGAGATGTTCCCAATACACAGCATTGGTGTTCCATGGATATAGATGTGGGAACAATTTGTGGGTAGAAAATCCGGAGTACACAGTTACTTCCTTTAGGGCGCATGTGGCCAAGCCACAGAGCTTGCAGTTACAAGAGATTGATCCTGCGTCTCCTTTGGAGGAACGCTAAGTGACCATCCAAAGTCCAAACCACTGGGTCATCGGCACATAGGTGGCAACATTGAACAATGAACATTGTACAATTTTGTTTTGTTTATAGAATCTATGATCTTCCACCAACCTAGTTACCGGGGATGGGGAAATTACAAACCTAAGAATGTGGTTTCAAGTTTTGGAGAAGCCACTTGGTGTAAAAAATAATTAAAAGAAGAAGGTTAGGCCAGTGTCAAGTCCACCCCTCCACTCCAGGTAGCTGAGTCTAATATTGGGTAATGGCCTTTTTCTTATTTCCCTCGCTCCCTGTTATTAAAAGATGAAAAGGAGACCAAAACTGTTGTTTAATATTTAAACCCTAAAGTGGTGACTGGTGAGAAGACCATTTTATACACAATTGTCATACAAGCCAGCTGATATATGGCAGCCTAACATGGATCTGTGACTCTGGGCACTCTCTTTCCATGCGAGCTGTGGCAAGTGTGTGTAAGTTAAAATAATCAATCATTTGAACAGTTTCTAGAGAATTGTAAGGGCAGATTTTTGTTGGAAGAAGCTCAACACACAATGCACATGACTAACCAATAAATAACACATCTATCCTAACCACCAAAGTACACGGTTCAAACAGGGCCCAACCCCATGTAAAGCTTTATACAATCAACTTCTTTAAAGTTCATCTGTGGCACCTGGAACCATCAGCAACCAACATCCTGGACCAAGAACCAGGAAGACTTTCACTATCAATATAGGAGGTAAATGCATTTTAGCATTTCTATGAACGTGCAATTAACCCATCCACCTGTTTGTGTCTAACCTAGGCCATCAGTCCTGTCAAATGATCTTCTAGAAAAGGGGATGACCTCACCCAATTCTGATCAAGTTTGGAACACGAAATTGCAGTAATTGAATGACTTGCACTCCCTTGCTCACATTTCATTATCAATGATATCCCTAATCATCTGTGCTGGGATGAGCCCTTCAGTCCGAATTGCATCCTTATTTGGAGCAGGACTAATGAAAAACAGGGTTGGCAAACCTCGGACCTGTGGCACAAATATTGAAGGTTAATCTTCAAGATGTGAAGTTTTCTTATAAAATGCTGATAATCAATAAATTCAGTAAGCAGTTCACATTACCTGCATATCACGGGCAAATTCATACTCATCATCTGTGTCAACCTTAATGAACAAAGCATTGCTCTCATACTCCACAGCAAGCTATAACATGCAATGGGCAAATTTTAATTTTACCAGTGAATGAACAAAAATGGTAATGATGATAGAACATTATAATAAAATGAACTCTATAAGATTAAAAAATATTTCTTTTACCTTTCATTTGTCAATAATAAATAGTTAATTATAGAAATGAAAAAAAAAACAGACAAAAATATAAGAGAAAAGAAAGTAAAGAAGCAAATTTTAATTGACAAAACTTTACCAAGAGAAAGAAAATTTTAATTGAAAAGACCTTACCAAGAAGCAAAATATCCCGGACAGCTCTAGAGCATTGAAAATTAATCATCAGCAGACCTCATAATATGAGGGGGAGATGTTAATATCCAAGTCTCAAGTTTCTTTGACAAAGTAGAAAATATTTCATGGAATGTTTTAACTAATTTTTTTCCCAGACTCAACCGAAGAACCCCTTTCTACAATAGACCAAGCTCAAAAAACTGACAAAAATGATTCCATATTGGAGTTGCATTTAAAAGGGTGGGAAACAGACTCGCTCACTTCAAAATCTTTGGTTACCAAGCAAGCACCCATAAAAAAGAATTAGCTTAACAAGACATTAATGAGAAAAATAACATTTGGCAGTCTTTGGAGAAGTAGGAGAAGATCATCCCATCATCCCCTAATTTCTCATGATACCACAATAACTTGTACTTTTTTATCACTGAGGAGAAAAATGTGTCTGACTGTGTTTTGAGAAGATAAAATATTGATTATGTTCATCAAAAAGTCTAGGACTAAGAGATGTAATGGTGTAGCCTATGTACAAAAAGAGCTATATGGTGGGGTCCCTTAATATGTACCCAAGAGAACACAACCTATGATCATATATTCTTTGATGGTGGGTGTGGGGGGTGGGGTGTAAGACAGGACTTACCTAAATTTCTTGCAAATAGATGACCATGAATACACCATCAAAATGGCATTACTTAGAACTGCTTCCTTGCATAAACAATGAAACTCAAAATGCAAAATTGCAAAGCATTTCTTTTAGGCTGTATTTGGTTTAAAGGAAAAGGTAAGGAAAGGAAGGGAAGGCGGGGAAACCTATACAAAGTTTATACATGTTTCCCTTCCTTTTATTTCCTTTCTTTACCTTTTCCTTCAAACCAAACATGGCCTTAACTCCAAATCAACCAAAATATCATGAATAGAAAGATACTTCATGATGCCTTTCCTCTTTCTCCAAGGCCCTTTAGTTTCCAACAAGAGAAAAATTGCAAAAACAATTTGGAAAGTAACATCTCACCCCAATCTCAGCAACCCGGGACCATCAAGCATAGAGGGTGTAATCATCAGAGGCCATCAAGGTTATTCAAAATGAATTTCCTGGGCCCATTAGGGGTAGGAAACTCCCCAAGAGCGGAGATTTATGCTCTCACTCGAGGACTAAAGCTGATATGTACCTTGAAATGTGCTAACCTGATTGTGGAAAGGGATTGTAAAGTGGTAATCAGCTGGATGGAGATTGAAGCAGAAGGCCCTTGGTTGTGAAGACGTAAAATGAGTTAAGCTAGAAGTCTGGCATCTAAACTGAACTGCTCATATAAATACCAAGAGCAGCCAATGACTTAGCTGATGGGCTTGCAAGGATAGGGGTTAACAAGGACAGCCTTGTATGGAAGGTCACCAGGCCCAGGGACTGATGCAACCTTGTGATATTCCTGTTTTGTTTTCTATTTTGTCAGCTATTGCTGTTCTCTTTGTACTATCTTGTTCTTATCTTTTTGATATTATTGTTCTTTAATGAATACACTTATTGCTTGTTTACTGATAAAAAAAATCAGAAAAAAAGTAACATGTCACGCCAAAAGTATCCAGAAAAAAGGCCCAAATATTTTAGTGAAGCTCAAAATGGAGGATTGCATTGTTTGCCTTTTTTTCCTTTTATGATAACCAAAAATAAAAGATAAGTACACTGAAAAAAAGGTTTCAGGCAACACCTAGTACATTCAACTATAGATACACAATGGGACAATTTTTGGCATTAAAAATAGATCCCAAAACCTCTCTCCAACTTCTGATCTGCAAACTTGAGCACTACCTGACAATACCAGCACGTACTCTATAATCATTTTACTAATATCAGCTACCACTCTTTCCATCCTCCAACCCTCATTTTCAAAAAATCTTCTATTTTTATCCCTTTCAGATTCTCCAACAGACAGACTGCAAAGGGAATACAACTCCAGAATTTTTTGGCTTTCTTGCTACTTTGCAACTTCACCCAACTAAAGTAGATCTCTCCCAAAATCCTTGGCTGGAAACACCTTACTCCTAAAAGAACAATAAAGAAATGCCAAATAAAATCAGCCATCTTACACAAAATGAAGAAATAACTCATTTCTTATGACCAAAGCACATATCGTACATGCTAGCCATGTTGATACTTCTACTCTTCAAGTGTTCAACAATCAGAATGCTATTCATTGCCACTAACCAAGCAAAAGCTTCCACCCTCAGAGGAATAGGATTCCTCCAAATAAAAGAATTTCACTGTAAATCTCTCATTCTTGCATTCCTTTCACCAAAGTTCATCCCTTGCAGAACTAGAGATCTTCATCTTCTCTCTGCTCAACAGAAAGACACTCTTCCACCTCCCAAATACCATAATAACGGATCTCCCCTTAACTCATAGAAATTATTTATCAAAAAAATCATGATCACTAAGGCTGTATAATCATGGGTAGAAGAAATCCTTCCAACTTCACACCACTCATCTTCCCAAAATCTGATTCTAGCTCCATCCCCCAATAAGATGTTAGATTCTTGAATTGTTGGTTAAACAACATAATTCCTTCACAAATGCTTACCCCATATGACGATGACAACTCCCTAGTCTCCACCTTTCTCGCGCCACTACAGCTGGTATCTTCAAAACAGATAAATATCATGTACGTATTGACAGCACACTCTTAATTAGAGTAGTCCTACCTTGAAAAGACAAATACTTCACCTTCCAATCAGCCAACATTTTTATCAAATACTTTCTAGTATAGGATATCAAGTAGAAGCTGGCAAAGCAATTGTGCCCACTGGAAGTCCCACATAGGTGAAAGGAGGTTCCCCAACTCTGCAGCCCAACAAAGCAGCATACTCCTTCAAGAGTTCCAATCTTACCTCACCTTTGAATTTGATCCACTAAAGCATCAGGAAAATCAATGTCTCATTTGCATATTCAGATGAGATATCAAAGGTTCACCTGCCCCGGCTTGGAACCCCCCAGTCAACCCTAACTGCACCTTTTTTCTCATTAACAAAGCCAATACCTCCACAACTAACACAAAAAGTAATGGGAAATGGGTCCCCTTGTCTCAAACCCCTAGATGACTGAAAAAAAACTCTGTTGATACACCATTAACGAGTAATGAAAACAAAAAGTATTGACATATAAGAAAAACATTCAGCTCCTCCACTTTTCCCCAAAGTCCTCTCTTTGGGGACTTGAATGGACAACAGTTAGTGGGTTCAATAAGGGTTTTGAAGTTGGTGACATTATTCCTAGAATTACATCATTACAATTTGTTGACAATAATTTGTTCTTCTATAATGCCACCATACTACGCATAATCAATTGCAACACCTCCAGCATGTCATCCATTGATCTAAAGCTATTTTGGCAATTGCAGAGTTAGCTATGAACTTAAAACATACAATATTAGCAATCTCCCTTCCAATTAAGGCTGCTAGTCTTCTTCTTTTTTTTTTTTTTTTTGATCAATAAGTAAGGCTGCTACTTGGTGTTAAATAAATATCAAAACAAACTCAGACCCAGAAAACTTGCCTCATGTGAAATTAGTTTCCTTCTTATTCCATATCCACATTCCAATACCCACTAGTTTAACAACTCCATCCCCCCCCCTCCCGGGTCTCATCTTATTATCCTTCCAAACCAAAGTAGAGAGGAATTGAGGAACTAAGACAAACTGAACTTGAATAACAAATTTATATACGTAAAGAAGATAAAAATACTCAAATGGTTACAAAAACTGTGATATATGAGAGGAGATAGTACCAGTTCCAGCTCCTGAGCCATCAAAATACAAGGACCGCACCACGTCGCATAGAAATCAATGATGATAGGTACAGTCCTTTCCCCCTTCAGGAGTTCCTGAACCTCCTGAGCTGAGTATTTCTTCTGCACACCCAAAACCGAAACCGTAAAGAGAAAATAAAACTATTAAACGAGAAGACCAAACAGAGAGAACCCACAAAAGCTCAACGCATAAAACAACAAAAGCAATAGTAAGCCATAAAGGCATAAAATACCACTAAATAGTCCTCCCTCACATACTTTGCTGAAGGAGGTTTGCAGAGTAGCTTCCTTTTTGTTGTTGTTATTGTCGAAGTTAGAGAAGAGGGTCTATTAAGTATGGTGAGAGAATGGAAGTTGGGTTCATGGATTCTCATAGAGGATAAGGAAAACCGAAGAAGCGGCAACGATGGTGGCGCTGGAAATGAAAAGCTGGTCATGGTGGTGATTGGCAGTTGGGTGGTTTGAATTACAGCCATTCTGGGAGACTGTAAAGTGCGAACCACGGAGAGCTGAGAGAGAGAGAGAGAGAGAGAGAGAGAGAGAGCTCTGCTTATACTTACAGTCGAGAGAAATAAATATCCGACGCAGAGAAAAGATCAGATATGACCCTCTATATATCTTGGGCCGTTGGGCCCGGATGAAGCCCAAAACATGTATCTATGAAGTGTCAAGTGTGAATATCTCAAAGGCCAGATTAAGGCCTTAGGTCTGTATGAATTGGCATGTGTAGTGTCTAGGCCTACGCCTTCCATTTGGTGGGTCTGTTCTGTGACTGACTTCTATCCAATCCTTTTATTTTTTGGGTCTGTCAATTTTAAGCAACAATTGGCAATTGGCACTCTCTACTCTCTATTCTTTACTCTAATATACAAAATACCTATCAGGTTGGACCTGAATTGGGCCGAAAAGCTTTTCCAAACATACCTAAATATGGAAATAAAAATGGGTCCATGAATCTCAAGATCAGATAAGGATAAAATAAAAAGGGGAGAATGCAAAGAAAAAAAAAAGCTAAGTAGTGGACGTGCTCATTTAATATGCTTACAAAAATGTATCTATCTGATTCGGACTTCTCTCTCACTCTCTCTCTCTCTGGTTGCAAATAAAATGACGGGGTGAGCAAAAAGTTTCGAAAAACTGAATCGACCGAAATAGAACCGAAAAATCAATCAATCTAACCAGTCAGTTTGGTTTCCATGTTTTCAAAAAACTGACAGTTTTGATTCGGTTTAGATTAACCATTTAAAAAAAACTGACTAATATATATTTATATAATATTATTTTTTTTTTTTTTGAAAATCGAATAAAAAAGTTCGGCAGTCTGAGAGTGTCAGACTGCCAAACTGAGACTTCCAGGTTTCAAGCTTTCAGCCTTTCTCTTTTAAAAGGCTGGCAAAATGGCGTGTAGGCAAACATGGCAGTCTGATCAGTGTCTGGCAGTCTCTTGGTCCCTAATAAGCCTCCTACCTCCACCGTGCCTTTCCAATTTTTCCTTTCTTTTCCTCTCTTGAGACTCTGAACTTTCTTTGTCACTCTCTTAGACTCTCAGTCTCAGTTCTCTTCTTCCTCAAGGGACCGATGGCCTCCGGCCCTCCGTCCGATCAGGCGACCAACTGTCTCGCTCTCTGTTCTCTCTCTCAGAGAGTTTCGTGGAATTAATTTTACATACAATTCTAATAGAGAGGGAGATCGGAGATGGTACATAGACATGAATTATAAAAAGCTTTGCCAAAAACAAAGGAAAAAAAATATATTTAGAAAGGATTTTGCCCAAAAACTATTTCACTCGGTTTGAAAAGAGTACAAATGCATACAAAATAATACAAAATATAAGGTTTTGTACTCCTTCCAAACTGAACTAAAGAATTAAAATGGTCATTTCACCCTTAAACTATGATAAAAAGATTATTTTGAAGCAAAAACATACTAGAGATGTCATGATAAAACCGTTAGACAAGTAAAGTATGCTTATGTGACACTATTCAAGTTTAAAAAAGCCACTTTAGACCCTAAAGTTTAAAAATATCATTTTAATAAAGTTAATTAAGTAAATTACTTCATGGTTTATGATGGTATAAAGTTAATTAAATAAATTATAACAATTAAGATAATTAAGTAAATTAAACTAACTAAATTAATTAATTGAATAAGTAAATTAAATAAATAATTTAAATTAATTAAGAAAGCTAAATTGATTAAGTAAATAAAAAATAAAGCTAAAAATAAATTGAACCAATTATGCAAGGTTTTAAAAAACAACCCAAAAATGAGACCACCTTGGCCACTAGTTTTTGGGTCAGTGGTTCGACCATTCAACCTAAACAAGTCAACCCATAATGTTTTGAAAAATAAAAAATAATTAAATGAAGATGACCCAAAAAATTCATCAAGTCAAATGGTTTAACGGTTCAACCATCCAGGTCAACGATTTGCTAACAAAGTCAACATTTTTTGAAAATTATGAGCCATGTATAAAATGGAACCAAAAGTTGACTAGTTCTTTGGTCTAATAGTTTGACCACCTAGGTCAATGAGAATTTTAAAACTATGCAATTAAGCGAATTAACTAATTATAAGCAAAGTAAGTAGAGTAATTAAATTAAATAAATTACGCAAATTAAGATAATTAAGTAAATTAAGTCAACTAAGTAAATTAAGCTAAGTAAATATAGTAATTAAATAATTAGAGCTAATTAAGGTAATTAAGTAAATTAAGATAATAAATTAATTAAAGAAATTAAGTAAATTAGTTTAATTAAGCACATTGAATCAATGTTTTAATAGTCAACTGGAGGACAAACCATTTTTGCCTCTAGGTCATAGTCACTGGTTTGACTATTCGTGTGTGTACATGTATACCCATGTATTTTCTCAATAAATAATGTATAATTATATTCTACATGTAATATATTCATTATTTTATATTTTTAAATCATTTTTTTTTATTTTTTATTTATAAAAGTGATAAAATTTGAGATTTGAGGCCAAAAAGGGTTTTTTCGAGAAAATAGTGGGCGAACACACCTTGGGACACATGTATCTTGAAAAGTTACCCATAACAAAAGAAAAAAAAAATATCACCCCAACTAGACATCCAAATGCAAGGTTATGGCCTCCAAAAAATTGTATACACATTTAGTGACAAACCTATAACATGTGATTGGGTCAAACAGGTTAACGGTTCAACTGCCCAGGTTGAACACTTTTTACCAACTCAGTAGACTTTGACAAAAAAGAAGGGGTTTTATGAGAACTAGACCTAGAATCATGAGTGCATGATAGCTCGAAAGGTTCTATTAGTCGGGTCAACAATGGGTTGAAAAAGTTAATTAAGTAAATCGAGTGATTGTTAATTTACTATTGGTTAAGCTTATTAAGTTAGTGTTTAAGTAATAATTTACTCTTAATTATTAACAACTATTTACTATTAAATTAATTATTGTTAATTTAATGACTCTAATTTGACAAAATTCTTAAAGTAATTTACTTCAAGGTTAATAAAAATTAGGGAAAATTTTCAATTAGTACCTTATACTTTGGTCCCCAAACTTTAAAACGTGATGATTCAATACCCAAACTTTCAAAACGTGTCAATCCAGTACCCAAACTTCAAGGTTAACTAGCCCATTAACCTGCTGTTAAGTGGCATTTGAAAAAACACAAATGTCCTTTAAATGCCATCTAATTTTCTTTACCAACCATCCAAATGTTGATAAAAAAATGAACAGTCCCAAACCTTTGTCTCTTTTATTCAAGAAAGTTGGGGTCGCGAGAATGTCCACTGAAACGTAACCCCAACTTTCTTGAATAAAAGAGGCAAGGATTTGAGACTGTTTGTCTTTTATCAACACTTGGATGATTGATAAAGAGAATTATATGACACTCAAAAGGCATTTTTGTCTTTTCAAATGCCACTTAACACCTAATTAATGGCTGAATAATGGTAGGTACCGGATTGGTACGTTTTGAAAGTTCGGGTACAAAATTGTTGTGTTTTAAAATTTAGGGACCAAAGTGACACTAAGCCCAAAGTATATATTAATTGGGAATTTTACCAAAAAAATTATTTTTTAATTGATAGACTTTTAACATCTAAAGTGACCTTTGCAAACTTTAGGGTGTAAAATGGCTTATAATTTCCTAAATTTATTGACTTAAGTAGTGCCACATAAGCATGTTTATTATTTTATCTATTGTCTAATGGATCCATCAACATCATCTCTAACGTTGTATGCTTTTGCCTTGAAATGGCCTTTCCATCATAGTTTGATAGCCAAATCTGCATGTAAGAAGACAAAAGGGAAGAAATATGTTCAATGTTCTTTGCAAAAATAGAGAACCGCAATCATATCAAAAGTGAAACAAATAAACAATAAGGCTCTGTTTGTTTGCGATGCAAATCAGAGCTGGATACAAATTTTGCACTCAGTTCCGTTTTACATTATTTGTTTGTAACTATGATTTACATTCTTACCTGATATAGACTCTGTAATTTTGCCTCATTTGTAATTACCGGATGTGCAAATTTTGCATCCCAAAAACTGATGCAAATTAAAATTTCACCATTGTCCTTAGCGATGGCAATTTTCCCTATTTCCCCGATCCCGTGGGAATCCGCCCCGAATGGGACAAGGATGGGGATGACTTTCCTCCCGCGGGGACGGGGATGGAGAAATTTTCATCCCCATTAGTGGGAACAGGGCGGGGACGGGGAGAGCACTCCCCGCCCCGCAGGGACCCCAATCCCCGCTTCGTGGGATCCCCACTAATATATATGTATATATGTATGCATACGTTATATATGTAAATATGTAAACATACATCTATATATTAATATTTTTTAAAATATGGTTGAATAAGTTTGAATATTTTCTAATACAATTGTAAATATTAATTATTTTATTTTTATTTTTTTAAATAAAATAAAAAACAAAAACAAAATGATTAGCATTATAAAGAATCATAGGGAATGAGGATCCCCGCAGAGATAGGGATCCCCATGGGGATGGGGATGGGGATAACCTTGTCCCCGTTAGTGGGGACGAGGATGGAGATTTTCGTGGGGACAGGGATGGGGAGAGACTCCTCGTCCCTGCCCCGCCCCATTGCCATTTCTAACTGTCCTCCTATCTCAATTCTCTCTCATATGAAATGGAAACCATATCTCAACTTGCTTGCTACTCACTCCAAAACAAATAGCCCTCCTCTTACCTCCACTCTCTTACATATAAGGTGGGGAATGGGGGCCATATCATTTGGATTCCTATTTTACTTCCCATAAGCAAATAATAAAGCCAAATATGAGGCAAAACTAAGCCAGAATTTACACCCATCCAACCTATTTGCACTCCCATATATTTACACCAGTGTTGCAAACAAGCTGAGCCTAACTAGTAAAAATAAAGTTGAATAATAGTCCCAATTAACTACCACGGCTTTGCTGGTTCCTCTCTTGGAAGCCTTGGGTTCAACCTCAATTAAGGACAGGCTTACGTGGCTTATGAATTAGTTGCACCTTGAAATTACTATCTCTTTCTTGCCAACATTACTAGTTAAATAACCCTTTTTACTGGAGGGT